GGCTACTACTGAGAAAACACAAACAAGCAAACAAACCCAGAAAAGAATAAGTGTTTGGGAGGATGTGGAGAAATCGGAGCTCTTGTGCATTGCTGATGGGAACATAAACTGATGCAACTGCTGTGGAAAAGTCTGGCAGTTTCTCAAAAAGTTAAACACAGGATTACCATATGATTCAGCCATTCCACTCCCAGGTATATCCCTAAAAGAATTGAAAGCAGGACTCAAATACTTGCACACCCATGTTAACAGCAGTGTTAGTCACAATACCCTAAAGATGGAAGCAACCCTAGTGGCCATTGACAGCTGAGTGGAAAAACAAAATGTGGGATGTAGATATTATTATTATTCAGCCTTAAAAAGGAAGAAAAATCGATAGGGACGCCTAGGTGGCTCAGTCGGTTAAGCAGGGGCCTTTGGCTCAGGTCATGATCCCAGGGTCCTGAGATAGAGCCCCACCTCAGGGCCCCTGCTGGATGGGCAGCTTGCTTCTCCCTCTCCAACATTTGGGCTCTCCTCCTCTGCCCGTCTCTTTATCAAATAAATAAAATCTTTGAAAAAAAATTCTGATAGGTGCTACACCATGAATGTCTTAAACATTATTCTAAATGAAATGACAATATGTATGATTCCACTTAGATGAGGTACCTAGAATGAGCAAATTCACCCAAAGTGGAATAGAGGTCACCAAAGGCTAGGACAGAGGTCTTGGTGAGGAATTAGGACAGGTATAGCTCCCGCTGGGTGGTGAAAAAGTTCTGGAGATGGGTGGTGGGGAAGGTTGCACAACAGGTGTGAATACACTTAATGACATTGTACACTTAGAATGTTTTTTTTTAAGACTTTATTTATTCATGAAAGACAGAGAGAGAGAGAGAGAGAGAGAGAGAGAGAGAGGCAGAGACACAGGCAGAGGGAGAAGCAGGCTCCCTGCAGAGAGCCTGACGTGGGACTCCATCCCGGGTCTCCAGGATCACACCCTGGGCCGAAGGCAGGTGCTCAACTGCTGAGCCACCCAGGTATCCCCTAGAAATGGCTTTAAAAGGGTACATCTTGTTATGTATACTTCACCACAATTAAAAATTTACATACATAGCAGATGGCCTAAATGAAAAATAGCAATATGAATCAAAAAAGGGGGCCTTCTGACAGCCTGGCCGGGTTGGATTCGTTCTCCCCAGGAGCCCGCTGCCGTCTCTGCAGCGGCCTTGAGCTGGCCTGAGCGGCCTAGTGCCAAATTGTCGGGAACTCCCCCTCTCCTCTGAGGCAGGAAGTTTAAATTATCAGGTCAATTAGGAAAGATACAACCGAAAAATACAAGTTTCATTCACACTTCAAGGAGGCGTTTCCTGGCTGGGTGCCACTTTTATTATTTTTGGCGGAGGTGGCTGCAAGCCCCACAGACCCAAGTAAAGGTACAATGTGATCTTTGATTCGCATTTCAGAGATCAAAGTGAGCGAGTTTGGGTGTAAATGCAGATAACATTTCAGAGATGGTTGCATGAAAGGAGTCACTAGACCAGGGCAGAGAGGGAGCTGGTCTTTTACGTGTGTGTTCGCCTTGAGAAACATCCTTTCCAGTGAATCAAGCTACTGACGGCTCAGTAACCTTGGGGCTGCATCCAGGGCCTTGGCCTCCAGGGCACCTGGTCTCTGGGTGGCGGGGGCCCCTCCCACCTCTCCGCTGGCCAAGGAGGGAAGACGCGGGCGTGCACCGGCTCCCACGGTCTCTGGGTGCTGGGTGGGCATGCCACCCGTGGGCAGCACCCCTGCCCTGGCCGTCTGCCCTCCCCGCCCGCTGTCCGTCCTGCACCCGTGGGTGGGCAGCACCCTGCCCGTGCCCCCACCCTCACCGGCCTCCGTCCGTCCTGCACCCGCGGGTGGGCAGCACCCCTGCCCTGGTGGCCCTCGCCACCCGAGGCGCGCAGGGGGCCCTCCGCGCCCCCCCCCCCGGGGTAGTGGAACCGTCCAGCTCGCGCTCGGGGCCCTGGGGGTGAGACCCTCCTCAGGAGCGCCGCTGCCCCTTGGACGCCCAGGCCCCCTCCTGACGCCCGCAGCGCCCCGGTGCCCCGCTGATACAGGGCGGCGGCAGCGGCTCGGCCGCGCCTGGGGGAGCGGGGTGGGCGCCCGGCCCCACCGCCCTCCGCCGCTCCGCCCCGCCGCCCCGCGCCTGCGCACGCCCGCCGCGCTCCAGGTACTCTGCGCGCCGCCGGTAGAGCGCGCTCCCATGAGGCCCCGCGCCGCCCCGCCGCGCTGGCAAGGAAGGGCTCGGGCGCCTGCGCGGCGGCGGGCCCCCGGGCTCAGGGCGCAGGCGCGGCCCCGCAGGGCGGCAGCGTGGGCCGTGGGGGCGGGGGCGTGGCTGCGCGGGGCGGCGGGGCTCCGAAGGCGGCGCGGGCCGGGAAGGTTGCTGCCCGAGGCCGCAGGGTTAGTGGGGCGGCGGGAGCCCGAGCGGCCGGCGGAGCCCCGCCCTCCGTCTCCCTCCAGCCCCCGGTGTCTCCGCACGGCGGGCCCCGGTGTCCCGGTCCGCGCCGGGGACCCGGCAGGTCCTGGGGCCGTTCCGGGGTGGTGCCCCCGCGGCCCGCCCCCGCTCACGGCGGCCGGTCTTGTTCTGCACTTTGTAGGTGGCGCTGGGACTCGCCCTGGGAGGTACGCCGGCCCGCAGCCTCCGCCGCAGCCCGCGACCGCTTCACGGCCGCCCGGCGCAGCCTCAGGTAGGCCGCCGCCTTCTGCTCACTCCCCGGGTGGGTGCCCTGCACGGCGTCTGCGGGCGGGGCCTGCCCTCCGCTTGCTGCGGGGCTCTGGGCGAGTTGTGCGGCCCCGGGGCCCGGTCTCCTCGGAGCTGAGGACGCGCCCCGCGCCGGGCGCTTGCTGGCTGTGCGGAGGCCGGCGCGCGTGCGTCCCGGTGCCTGCGCCGGGGGCCGGCTGTGCGGTCCGGGAGGGGGGCCCACCCTCAGCGTCAGGGCGCGGAGAGGCGGGCCAGAGGCCAACGCACGGGGAGCCGAGGCCCGAAAGCGCTCAGAGACCCAGGCTTAGGAAGGCCCAGGCCCAAGCGGGGCTGGCTGCTCGGAGCAAGGGAGCCTCCTCCCTCGGGCTGTAGGGGGCACACAGGCTTGCTGATGAGCCGGCAGGGGACAGCTAGGGTGCCGCTTGGGGTGGGAGCTCGGGACTGGGAGGAAGCCAGGGCACGGACCTGTAGTGTGCACTGTCTCCTGGGCATGGGTTTTGCACGCAGCCTGGCATTTAACCTCAGACTGGTGGCAGGAGCTGGAGCGTGGTGGTTGGTCACAGGGGTTCATGGTCGTTGGTTGTCAGAACTCCGGCTGAGCTGGACTCACGAGTGGACTGCATTTGTGTGCTGCCCCTTGGGTCACTGCTGCTGGCAGGTTCTAGCATATTCTTTTCCTGTGTTAGGCCGGGAAGGGCTTTCAGGTGGAGGAACTCCCCAGAGTGAGGGCCGTACCTGAGAGCTTGGTGGCACAGGTAGGTGCTCGTGGCCCTAGCAGCTTGGAGTGCTTCAGGCTGCCCAGGGAGGTGCTCAGCAGGAAGACCGGCAGAGCTGTGTCTCCCTGGAGGAACTCACTCTGATGGGGATAGGAGTAGATAAACACACGGGCAACTGTGCACAAAGGTGCGAGCAGGCCGTGATGCCCCTAGATGTGAGCTGATGGAGCCTCAGGGTGTGTATAGAGGGGTTGCAGAGTGTGTTCTGTGTTGACAATGAGTGGATGTCCCTTTACAGAGAGACTGAGGAGATGGCTGCTAGAAGGCTGGACAGTGTGAGAGCCCGGGGAGAGGGCTCCTGGAGTTGGAAGGGAACTGTATATGGTGATGGTTGCAGCTTCTTTTTCCACTTTGGGGCTCTTTGGGCTGCTCAGGGTTGATGACCACTGCTCTCTAGGCCCTTTACAGGAGTGACTTTGGGATGGTGAATGAAGAGGCATAAAGTGGGATTAAACCTTGGGGTTTTTGATGCTGGGCTCTCTCCCTGGGAAGGGAATAGGGAGGTGGTGTTCAAGGTGAAGTGTTCTTACCAGCAGGCTGCACTCTTGAGTGATGAGGTGACTCTGGAAAGCACGAGTGGGGAGGCTGGAGTGCACAGAGAACACCAGGTCCCAAGGCCTCTGTTGGGCAGGCAGTAGCACCTTCCAAACTCCTAGTGCTTTGAGGTTAAAGGGTCTTGTGACACAGTCTGCTTACTTGACGGTCACAGTGTTTTGGGTGACTAGGGGCCTCCTCGGTGGATTGAAGGGTAGTTCATAGCCAGCATAGTGGTGTGTGCTGGTTAAGTGTGGTCTTTGGAGCCAGGTTCAGCCGCCTTTGTTCACTTATTGGTTAGTGTGTGGCCACAGACTAGTGACTTCACTCACCACTCTGCTCTGATTCAACAAGAGTACCGACCTCATCAGGGGGTATGTTTGGCCCAGATAGAGCACTCAGTAAAAGGTTGCTACTGTTTTTCTCCTGAAATTCCCTGACAGCCAGCCAGGCCATCGAAGGAAGTCCTGGGGGTTCCAATTTGGCCTCCTTTCCTTCCCCTGGGACTAACAGCGCATCTGCCGTCACACTTTGCCCATGAAACTTTACAGGTGGGATTTGCCCACCTTCTCAGACCTCCCAGGTCTGCTTCCTGGGCCCTCCTTCCACTCAGAGCTCCTATTTGGGTACCGGGGGTTTGCCTGCATATTGCCTCCTCCTGCTGCACAGTGCAGATGATTGGGCCTAGTTCCCGCTCTTCCCCACCTTGTTTTTGGACAGGTTGCCTTGGATGGTGGCCTGCGTCTGACAGTCCCATCAGCTCTTCTCAGCTCTCCTGAGGCCACAGCTGCCAGCTCCTCTGACCCTCAGCACTTGCCTGGAACACCTGGGTTTGCCACACCCCGTTTCAGCCCGTCTCTGTCCAGTTGTGTCATTACCACCCCCTCTGCTGCGCTATCTCTTCCTGTCTTCCTCCTTCCTCTTGTAGTCGACATGGCAACTCCTCTGTGCTCCCTCCATGTCTCATGGCCAGCGCTGTTGGCGGGGCCCTCACAATCTCATCCAGGCGGCAGCCTTACGCCAGCGCACACCCTTGGCAGCAGATGGACCAGGTCTTTCCTGGGGTCACATACACCCCTCCAGTGGATCCCTGGATTGAGCAGCCCTGCTGTGGGGACCCTGTGTGTGTGCACATGACCATGGAGCAGAAGAGCACGGCCATTAGTGCTCTTGGCGGTAAGCCCACAGAAAGGGGGCCCCTGGCTCTGCACATGCCCAGCCCATGGCCCCCAGGGTGGACTTCCACTGGGTGCCAGTCTCAGACCCACACACCTTTGATGACTCCTCACAGCAACTGGACTGATATGTCCTTTTGCTTTGAGCACTGTCTGGAGAACCTCAGCTGCATTTTCGAGATCCTAGGGTACCTGATGGGGTGAGCCCAGGTGTGGGCAGCCCCCTAACTCGACGGGGACCTGCCCCTTCCTGATGATGGTGAGCTCTTCTGCCGGGATCTCAAGGAAGTTGCTTAAGACCTGAATAGTTTCACTGAGTACCATGCTGCAGCACCTTGCCCCCCGGTCCTCTGCCTCAAGCCAGCCACCAGTGGCCCCACAGCTGCCTGTGGTGGGTAGTACTTAGGTGTTCAGATCCCCCAGCCCTTACCATGGGTGCTGGCCCAATCGCTGTGGCCACCCCTGCTGTTGGTAATTCCAGCTCTACATCCAGAAATATTCTCCCTGAACAGCAGTGGGCCAAGGAGAACAGCCCTGGGTCTGTGGAGTCCTTACCTTGTTCAGTTCTGCATGCAGCACTGATCCTGGTCCTATGGAGCCAGCCTCATCCCAGCCAGGGAAGGTGACCCCCACAATTGTCCCTGTACTTTTAGGATCTGCTAATCTGCCTTCCCAGAAACCAGATCCAGTTCCACCAGGGAGTCCAGAAACCCAGAAGACAGAGGAGGAGGTTTCTGAGACACAGGGAGACCAGAAGGCATCTTTAGGTACCTTACAGCGGGTGGCAGATAGCCCCAGAGGCCCCAGGAGGCCTAGCAGTTTCTCCTACCCCACCGCCCTGGATTCTGAACACAGCCCAGCCTGTAGGAGTGCTTCTTGTGATGAAGTGGCCTGCATAGCCAAGGAACCCCACGGCCCCCCAAAGGACAGGGTGGTGTTCCCAGATGACTCTAGATATAGCGTGCCAGGTATTGCCCTATCCACTTGTTTTCTTGCTGGGCAGGAGGTACACTTGTTTGGGCTCTGCTCTGAGCACAAACAGCCGCCTTGTCCCCTTTACCACCCCATCTTCTATTACAGCAGAATGTTGGGCTCTATGCTGTGTCCCTCATCCTCTGACTTCCGCAGTGGCCTACAGGCTGCCTCCCACTAGGCTCTCAGCTGCGTTCCCACTGATGAGACAGAGTTCCATACAGTAGTCCCCATCAGATATTTGTATGTTTTTATAACTGCCCTACTCCCCAGGCCCCTTGTTCAGTGTTGGCTGGGCTGGACTAGGTCTGCCATGGCAGCCCTGTTTGGATCTGTCTCTGGTTGGTGTCTCTACATCGGCTCCCTTCCCCATCTTGGCTCCCTCTGACCTCTGTCCTCTGGGCTGGAATTTAAGGAAGGCTGAGTGGGGAAAGTAGCCATTTTGGTCATTTAGTATGAGTGGGATGGCAGAGAAAGATGCTTCCCTATGGCTTTACCGGCAGCCTTGGCCAGCTCGGAAGGTGGGATCCAGGCTGCCTTGCCAGTGTCAATTCAATGCCAGGCATTTTCCCCTTTTGTATTTTAACATTCTAGTTACACCTGGTTTTCTTCAGAAGTTGGCATGAATTTCTGTGTTTCAGTACCTTTGCCCATGTTGCCCTCCCACTTTCTGCTCTTCAGCAGTCCCTGCCTCCCTGCCCACTCCTGCATATTGGTGACTCAGCACTTAAACCAGAACCCTTTAAATGACTTGTGTCTTTGGGTAGACTGTGAGCCTCTAGGGCAGGGGCTCCATCTTGATCAGCTTCGTGTTCCTGGTATACAGTTGGTGCTCATTAAACATATGTTTAAACCATGGCTCAGTTTGTGGTGTGATGGCTACTGACGAGCAGAGCCTTTATTTTGTTGGCAGGAACACTGTTGCCTGTTCTGTTGGGAACAGGCTAGGCCTTAGCCATGAGTGTTCTAGGTCACTGTTGGAGGTGTGGTTTCTGGTGGGTCTTTGAGAATCGAAGGGTCTGGTTGAAGGAAGGAGTTAGGCTGAACAGGCAGGAAAGGGGGCTTGGCAAGTGGAGTGTGATCTTGAGAACTGATTCAAAATCTGGAGGTGAAGTGACAAGCAAGCAGCCGACCAGAGCTGTGAGGCCCAGGGGCCAGAGGATTGGAATGAAGAAAGACCTGTTCTGCACAAGGATGGATTTTCCAATAATGAGAACTGAGCTCAGAAGCTCCCTTAAGCCAAGTTTAACACGGGGAGGGGGAGGGGGTACAGCGCACCTTCCCAGAGGGACAATTCAACAAGAACGTCAAGCCCCTTCAGTTTAACAATTGTGGAAACAACACTTTCCTGGAAAGTAGGAAGAAAAAATAGTGGAAATGTGAACAGCTGTTAAAAGTAGTTACTTTATAGGGTACCTGGGTGATGGGCATTAAGGACACATGATACTATGAGTACTGGGTGTTTTACGCTATGTTGACAAACAAAATTTAAAAAATTAAAAAACTACTTATTGTAGAGAAAAAATAGTAAGCGAACATCTGGTAAAAATTTTAAGTAAAATAGACATTGTTAAGATTTTTTAATTTAGTAATTGTGCCTTTAAAGGCTCTGGGTTCAGATGGTTTTATGTGTGAACCATTTTGCAAGTCTTAGAAATAAGTGGGAAGCTGATAGAACCTTAAAAGCAAACAAGCAAGCTGACAGAAGAAACCACTGTGCAGCCTTGATCCTGATCAAGGTCGGAAGTCCCTGCACATTGTATCCCAGCCCTGGATGCACTGCTGCCCTTCCATGCGATCACTTAGTTTGGACCTTTTGCAGACCCAGCTCAGACTGCTTCCTACCCCTCCCGCCCCTGGCCTGCCAGTGGGTCTGATACTGTTGGCAATATCTTTTAAGCTGGTAAGATGTCTCTGACAATAGAACCTGGGGTTACTCTGGGGTGATGACCTACTCACTTGGTTGACACCCCCACTATTGCTGGCCTCTGCACAGGGCACCCTTCTCATCTACATTTAGTGGACCTGAAGTGAATCCCTTTCAGCTCGAGATTGCCATCTTCCCTTCCTACCCTCCCACCCTCATTGTCATCTTCCCTTCTGACCTCATAGTCTTGATGGGTCTTTTCCCCTTGGGTCCCAAACAGCTCTTGCTGCCTTGTTTGTAGTTGAGGGCCAGCTCTCCCAAGGCAGGCCCAAGAGGATCTGCAGAGAGGTCAGATCACCTGTTTTAATTTGGAAAATGGGACTCATTGTGGTTGGGCTCTCATTACACTGGAAAAGAAATGAGGGCAGGGCCTCAGTAGCAAAGGCAAGTTTGCCAGTTCTTGGGTGCCCTTGTGGATGGGATCAGGAGAGGATGGGGGGCCTGGCCTTGCAGACAGGCAGTGTGTATACTGTTGCAAAGTGACAGTTTTCAGTGGCAGCCATTGCTGTGCCCTGTCTTTCGGCACATGCAACGACCTAGCTGCTTTCCTATGCTGTGGGGGTAGAAGGAACACAGAGAGCCAGCAGAGGAGGCCCTGCCGTGCATGATGGGAGGAGGATCCTTGGGTCATTTGCCATTCCCAGCTCTTCACATACAGGTGGGCTAGAGGAGGCTGCTCCTAGGAGCAGGACGGTCTGGCAGGGTTTGCCGGATGTGCCCAGGGTTGGCTGATACTCTGGCATCTGCCTACCAGATCATCATGCCTGTCACTTGCCTTGGAAATAACCTGATTTTATTTCCTAAAGATAGGACACAGTAGGCACTATAGGAGGGTTTTTAAAGTACATGTCTCCAAGAAAAATTTTAATGCCAGAGTATTATGGCTAAGGTCCTATGAGAGAGAACTTTTTATAAAGCTGCAACAATGAAAGAACTTAGAATTGGTGTGGATGGATGAACAGAGGAGAATAGAGAACTTTGAAATAAAGCCAAATAAATGCAGGAATTTAGTTCATGCTAAAGGTATTGTTTCAAATTAATGGGGGTGAAGTGGATTATTCAGTAAAAGGAGTTGGACCAACTGGTTAGCCATCTGGAAAATAGTAAAACTGGATACCCACCTCACTCTGCCAGGCTCCACTCTGGATGAATTAAAGATTTCAATATTTTAAAAAAAATCATAGAAGTTAACTACAGGGAAGTGTGGGTGAATTTTTTTTTTTTTCTGAGATCACAGGACTTTAAAAGTTCTCGATATCCAGAATTGCTGAAGGTATGGAGAAATAGGCTGTTTCTTGCCACTGGTAGAAATATCAAATATTGCTATTCACTCACATAACATTTCTGTGCACACAGACCCTGACCACTTGCCTATGTGCAGATGGCTGTTGTCCATTCCTAGATGTGGGCTTCAGAGCATGGACTTGAGCCCAGTCACACCTTGCTGCCACTTGCAAGCCTGTCGTCCCTGTTGTCACCTGACCTCATAAGGCAGTGGGAAGATTGAATGAGATAAGGTCCGTGCAGTGGCTTGACCCCTGTCGAGTGCCTAGTGACCAGTCAATGCCTTAAGAGCAAAACTGGAAACAGCCTGAAGTTCCTGTAGTAAGGAGTGAGGTAAATAGAGCTGTTGTCCTGTCATATCAGTCAGGAAGAGCCAGATCGTGCTGCAGTAAAAACCTCCCACATCTCACTATTCATCTGTTGAAGACCAGCCGGGCTGCCCCCTGCCCATTGCAGAGGATCGTGCTGACAGGAGTTCACTGGACACATTTCTCCACAACCACAGAGGCAGGGGAAAGGCCACAGTGAACCACAAGTGATGCTTGTCACTGCTTTTCCATTACTGTGGCCAAAGGAAGCTGCCAGATGACACCTGAGTCCTGAGGATGAGCGGCTAATCCTCCCGTGGAGTGGGGCCATCAGCATGGAGAAGGTGAACATGGCACTCACCAGTGCAGCCATCACCAGAGTCGGGGCAGGCCTGCGTCAGTACCCAAGGATAGGTGCCTGTGTCTACTAAGGCTGCAGGCCTTAAACAACAATGTATATCTCACAGTCCTGGAGGCCAGAAGCCCAAGATCAAGGTGCTGGCAGAGTGGTCTCTCCTGCGGTTGTCCCCTTGGGTTATGATGGCCGCTGTCTCCCCGTGTTCTCATGTGCTTGTCTCTCTGTGCCTGTCTGTTCTAATTCCTCTCATAAGGACACCAGGCCTGTTGGCTAAGGGGCCACCTGTATGACCTCATTTAATTACCTCTTCAGAGCCCTGTTTCCACATAGAGTCAAATTCTGAGGGGGTTGGGGATTAGAACTTCAACATATGAATTTGAGAGGGTTGAGGGACACAGTTTGCCCATAATAATCCCCAAGATGGATTTCTTGTTTCTTGTTTTTGCAATTTCCAAGAGTGCTGTGGTGCATACTCTGAGCATCATGAGTGGTGGGTTGCAGGGGCCTCTCCAGGCCGTGGGAGCAGGACATGCTGGCAACTCTTTTTCTTATTTTAGAAATCTTTGCCTACATAAAGGTACAGAGACATTACCTGTATTTTCCAGTTTTAAGCCATTTACATAGACTCGAGTCAGCTTGTAACTAACGGTGTGCCGTGCAGAGGGCTCTGCCGTGGTCATCAGGTAGCCAGGGACAAGCAGGGCCCCTCCGCCCACCTGCGTGTAATAGTGGGAATCTGAGCTGTGAGCCGCTGAGTTCAGGGGTTTGTTTTCTCCACAGCATGACCTACCCTGACCAGTGGAGGACCCCGTGTCGCCTTTTCCCACAGGGCACAGACCTTCCCACCCCAGGTTAAGGATGCCAGGCTGGCCCAGCCTGGCCACCGTCCATCCTTCTCATACATGCCTGGCTCTGGTCTGGTCTATCCCCCACCAATTATCTGGCTTTATAGTGAGTCTTCATTGTTTGGTAGAGAAGCATTCCCTCCCTCACACCCCCGCCCCTGACACCTTGTTCTCGAAGTTGTCTTGGCTAGTTTTAAAAAGACACATCATCATAAACACAGACATGGAGAGGATGGTACAGTGGACCATGGCATGTCCATTGCTCAACTCCAGCGGCGGTCGGTCCTTAACCCCAAGGGTGCTGTATTGGTGGACAGCCTGGCCTAGTGTGCCGTGCCAGACAGCGGGAGTCCTGAGCTCACTTTCCCTTTGGACTGTGGTGTTCTCATTTGTAAATGAGCAACATGATCTTTGCTATGGGGGTGTTGATGGTAAACCTGGGAGGAGCCCCTGGCCTGTAGGGTATCCTTGGCAGCCCCTTCCTTCTCTCCTGACCTTAGGTGCGCACAGCCAGGGCTGGGGCCTGTGGGTGGTGGGTGCTCATCCACCTGCTGGGTGGGGCTGCCTGACAGTGGAGAGGAATATCCTGGGCTGCTCTCCACCTGTATGCATGAGCAGCATGGGGCCTGGGCTGACAGCGAGCCCACACTCATACAGCTGGCCAAGTGCAGGTGCCGCATGGTCAGTGCAGGGACACCTGGCACTGGGAGTACCACATCTCATGGCTCATGAGGTCCTGGAAGCATGGGGTTGGCCAAGTACCTGATCCAGGGTGCTGTTCCCTAGGGCATGGCGGCTTTCCCACTGCCAAGACCCTATGTTCCTCCACTGGAAAATCATCGTGCAAATGGGAGCCGTGGATGGTGGCAGCCAGGAGGGTAACCCAGGGCCAGTGCAGCTCTGCCCCTGTGTTCCCACCCGACTCCAGGTGCCCACTTCACAATACCCACTGTAGCCTCCTGGTCCCTGTCATCATGTCTTGTGCTCCTGTCCCCCATTGTCCCCCTCAAGTTGTTGAACTTTGCAAGTCTCCCTTTGCTGCCCGTGTAATGGAGAGAATTTCTGCCTTGCATGTGCTTGGAGGCAGGAGGCCCCTGAGGGCCTGTCTCTGATCCTTCCCTCGCCCACATAGCAGT